CCCCCCCACGGGGACTGTGTCTTCCCGTTCGAGTACAACAACAAGACGTACGACTCGTGCACCCTGGACGGCACCGGCGACTTCCCCTGGTGCTCCATGACTGCACAGTTTGAAGACAATTGGGTGTACTGCGAGGGCGGTATGTTGGAACGTCTAGTCTACGATCCCAGTCATGTATAACGTTATACGTCGTGAGGCAATCGTCGTACTATTACAAAACTAAGGACATGTGTTAGAGTCGTGCATGTGCCGTGCAAAATTCAGCCGTGTCGTTACGGAAAATGTTACTTTATATCCTTGCCGGCGGTCGGTTCTATCTGTCACAGCCTGCTTGAAAACTCTACGGCATCATAGAGTAACCTACGACGAATCTGAACGCGCCGTGCATCCATATCATTACAAAAGTCAAGCATCGCTGTTCCGTTATTCATTTTTCAACATAGTATCTGGAAATACATTTTTTAAAAAGCAGTAAGGATTTACATTTTGCTGCTGGTATTTCCTTATCCCCCCCTTCCCTTTTGTCCAGGTGGCTGCGGCGGTGAACTGACGGACTTACAAGGACGAGTGGAGTCGCCCAACTACCCTGTCGGATACCCCGACAACCAGGACTGCAAATGGCTCATCCAACCTCGCGGAGGCATCGCCACGGTCTCCTTCGGCGACTTCTCTCTGGAGTCCAGCGGTAGCCTGTTCAACTCCTGTCCGTATGACTATGTCCAGGTCACTGCCGTGGATGGCACAGACACCGGTAGGCTGTACCTTTCAACTGATGTATAAAAAGAATTTCATGATTTTTTTTGTCTTTGGTGGCAATGGTGTAAATTTTATAGCTTTCAATGCATGTGAAACCATCCGACGTCATTACAACGTTAGAAAACTTTTCGTCAATTTCATGTTACATCTTCTTATAGTGCACATGTACACAATAGACAAAACGACGTCGTCCCGCTAAAGTTTTAATGTGTGAATCTGATGTACTCTTGGTCGTTGTTCATCTCCTCAGGACCACACTGCGGTTCAAACCCCCCTGCAAACGTCACCTCTCATACGGACATAACCGTTAACTTCGTGACGGACTCCAGTATCAACAGTCGCGGGTTCTACTTCTACTACAGCATCCAGGGTGGCGCGCCCGGGACACATGCCTGCGGCGGAGAGCTGACCGAGAACAGCGGCGAGGTGCGCTCACCCGGGTAGGTGGGACGTGGTATTTACGTATTACCATATATGGCCACCCTCTCTTTCCCTGGGAGGTGATTGGCCCGACTCATGCCCTGCCTTTTCCCCATTGATGGTGATTGGACACTGCCTTAATAAGATTTTCTTTTCCTGGAAGTTGATTGGTCAAAATCATGTCGGAGGTGATTCACCCCCATGAAACTCCTTCCTCTTCGCCCCCGCCGTTCTGCTTCGCCCCCGCCCCGTTCTGCTTCGCCCCGCAAAAATCTGCTTCGCCCCCGTCGTTCCTCTACGCCCCCGGCGCAATTCTGCTTTGCCCCCGTCCTTCTGCTTAGCCCCCAATGGCGGCACAGCTCACAGTCGACACGAAAATCGTCTGCAAAATAACAATAAAGGCTGTGCCGCCAAATTTAAAGTAGCCCATGCTCCGGCAAACATTCTGGACCACCTTTCTGCCAAGTGGCGTTGCACAAATCCTTCCCATTCAAAAGTTTACCCCTACCTCACGGCCCGTCAGTGGTTCTTACGTTTATAAGTACTGGCGGGAAATTTCACTCACGGCTGGACAGACGCTAGGCTGATCGCCATGGAAGGTGGGTACTAATTAAAGCCAACTTGGATAATGGCGGGATTTTGTATCAGCCAATTGAACAGTAACTAATCGTGTTCCTTTTGATACAAGTAGACAATAGTGAAAAAATGACAGCTATCAGTAATAGCGTTAAGTTAAAAATTGTGCTGCAAATACTAAGTAGAATTTATAAGGCAATACCTTGCTGTGTGAGGTGACATGGATTTAGAATGCTGTGTAAAAACTAGACAAGACCACTGACGGGCCGTGAGGTAGGGGTAAACTTTTGAATGGGAAGGATTTGTGCAACGCCACTCGGCAGAAAGGTGGTCCAGAATGTTTGCCGGAGCATGGGCTACTTTAAATTTGGCGGCACAGCCTTTATTGTTATTTTGCAGACGATTTTCGTGTCGACTGTGAGCTGTGCCGCCATTGGGGGCTAAGCAGAAGGACGGGGGCAAAGCAGAATTGCGCCGGGGGCGTAGAGGAACGACGGGGGCGAAGCAGATTTTTTGCGGGGCGAAGCAGAACGGGGCGGGGGCGAAGCAGAACGGCGGGGGCGAAGAGGAAGGAGTTTCATGGGGGTGTACAGCATCTCTACAGCAGCTATATGTGTGTAACTCCCATACTCTAAGCATTCTACCCACTTGACCATTACACACTAGTACTATATACTGAGGCACACTCTCCTCCTCTCTAAGACTTGGAAATACCTTAGGAAACAACATTCACCGTGAAACATTGTATCAAAACAGTACAAAACGGGTGTAAAAG